TAATAGTACTTAATAACTGATAAGAATTAATGCATTTCTTCAATTTCTTCATAAATGCATTTCTTCATAAATGCTTTTCTCGATAAATGCATTTCTTCAATTTCTCAAGTAACATCAACTCTCTTAAAATGAACGTGTTGTAAAATAATAGTACTTAATAACTGATAAACTTCACGAATTAATGCATTTCTTCAATTTCTTCATAAATGCATTTCTTCAATTTCTCCATAAATGCATTTCTTCATAAATGCTTTTCTCCATAAATGCATTTCTTCAATTTCTCAAGTAACATCAATTCTCAAATGAACGTGCTGTAAAATAATAGTACTTAATAACTGATAAACTTCACGAATTAACTCCATTCTATGTTACAAAATTAATATTTCTTACACTTTGTAACTAATTGCTTTGACAAAAGAATTTAATATATATTTAATTATAAGAGAAAACTATCTAATACATACATTATCTGCAGTTATAGAGGTTATAAGATAGATCTAAATTTCAATCCATGTATTATAACGAAACATTAAGTAAAAGCTTTTGTTCTATTTTAACCATTTTGGTTACAACAACTCTTAGTATTAGCTACAAAAATGACTCTACCTAAATATGAAAACCTTGCCACTTCAACCATGCAACATCATCTTTGGCTAAGTTTTAAAGAACGGCCATGTAAAAGAATGTTAATGAATCCAAATGTAGCTAAATATGAGAACTTAGTCACAGTATACCAAACACCATGTACCATAATATCACTAAATTAAAATTAAACCCGAAATGAAATATAATAGGAAAACAAGCATTAATGGCAAAGAAAGCTACTAACGACCATTAGTGTAGAATTGAGCAACAAATTCTACTGTCGTAAGGAAATCATCTACACTCGAAAAAATAGTATTATTCATCTACATATATATAAATATCTTCAACAAAACCAATGAAATTTAGCCTAGGGAATGCAAAAGTCATTAACGAATATTTTAGGCGTTGGGATTATCCTAAGATCCATGAATTCCACATGTATGAGGAGTACAAATAACAAATTATTTTTTAGGAAGAAAAATGAAGGGAAGAAAGCTGACAGCAACTTATCAAGTAAGGAAATATCAAAAGGAACGTTTGCTGCCTTCCTTGGCTTTTGTCCGTACGCTAATGGCTTATGCCCATTATTTGCATCATCGTACGCCTTGGGTTTCTTGCTAGGATAATGCCATTTGTACAATGATTTTTGACAACATTGTTAGACAATGTTGTACGTGTCATAAAAGTGTTGGTAGGAAATATAAATTGTTTTTTAAATTATCCAATGACAACATGACCCATGGCATGTTATCAACAATATTGTAAAAATGATTGTACACCAAGCACGATTGCGCTTGCCAACGCTTGATTGCAAATGATGCAAATGACAACAAGAAAGTTTTTCCAATTTATCCCCTTCAGCTGAATTTTCTGGGGAAGCAAAAATTATTAGCTAATACATGCATGTTCAATAATTAAACATGCAATAATTATACCATTGCAGTCACACCAGCTCAATCCGGGAGCAATACTAAAAGAAAGTAACAAAAGAAACACCAAAGTCCTAATACTCTTAGTAAGTCAAATTGTAGCATGCACGTCAAATGTTATTAAAAACAAAGTTTAATGTATACAGGTGCCAAAATATGAAGTAAAATGAGGCCAAATGAACTTCTGGGTAGCTACTTACTAACTGTACATGCAAAACCCAAGAAACTTCTCCCTACCCACCAAAAGAATACAAAAAGAACGAATAAAGGAAAAGAAAGAAATTACCATTTATTCAGAAATACACTTGCAGAGACACAGAGTTTTGATTTTTACTTCTGCTATGGTTGTCAGCAGCTATCAATTATTTCAAACCTTTGTTTGATAGATATGTATATTTGTATGTGCTTATCTCGTCTTTAACTATATATGAATGCATCTCTATCTCTTTCGTTAGTGCTTCTTTCCATGAAATACAAAATATGAGGTTTGTTCCGTCCACGTTGTATTGCAGCCTAGTTAGTACTGACGTGCACTTTCGAAATAAAGAATTAAAGGGAGATTATTGAACATCCTATCTTCATAAGAAACAAAAAAATAATGTAATGTTTATTTTTTTTACTTTCGCTATGGTTGGAAGCTTAAACGTAAGCATATATGTTTATGTTTTAGCTTATGATGATCAAGCTGGAGTTTTAAAGCTATCCATTATTTCAAGATACTTACTTTACGAATCTTGCCTTTGATGATGTAATTTTAACTGTTGGATGTAAAACCAGGTTTCTTCCTTCTTCTGCGTTAACCAGTTTACAAAATATGAGGTTTGTTTGGGTGGTATTGGGCCTTGTCACCCCAAAAGCTAACTCAAAAAGTCAGATTTTCCCTCGCACTAGTCCCTTCCACAATCGATGTAGACAACCTTAACAATCTCCCCCTCACATATCGAGAGACTAAACTCATCTCCCCCTTACATAGGTTTTTTCATAAACAACAATTTTCGTTGTTGGGTTATATCTAATTATCTATCTCTTTTGTTAATGCTCTACCGGGTTTCTTCAATAAGAACAGTTCTCATTGTTGGGTGATATATATCGGCGCCTTTGCATCTCTTTCGTTAAACGCTTCTTCTTCGTTAAATTCATCGACCAGTTTCCATGAAATACAAAATATGAGGCCTGTTCCATCACTGCCATCCATGTCGTATTGTAGCCTAGTACTGTTATAATGTGTAGACGTACACTTTTGAAATAAAGAATTAAAAGGAGATTATTGAACATCATATCTTCAAAAGAAACAAAAAATAATCTAATGTTTATTTTTAATAAGACCAATGTACGTAGTTCGTATTTATATATACTCCAAAATGAATTATAGGGATCATCTTATTCATGGGGCCCATATCGAGCACGCAAGCTTGCAATCACCGGTGAGGATGACCCCACGGTCGCTTGGCTTTTTCCAATATATAAAATCACTTCCATTTTCGTTAGTCAATTTGATACTATTGATAACGAATTGACTTGCTATAATTAAGTTTTTTATTAACATTGTGTAAAGATGGGAGTGCTTTATTTAAAGTAATATATTTTAATTACTGACTCAGAGAAACTTGTCTATTTATGCGGTTGGCCTGGGTCGTTTTGATCTTAATTCTTTTATTGATTCTATCTTATTTCAAATTTATCCATAATAGCAAAAAAAGAAAATAATAATAATAATAATAATAATAATGTTAATAATAAAAAAATTCCAAGCCCAGTGTACAACACAAATTATAAGCTATCAAACAAGATCAATATTACTACAGTAATTTAGTCTGAATCGAAAACTAATATTATTAGTCAAGTAATTTTTTTATTTGGTTCTAACTTGAGTTTAGTTCATTCAAATTAATTTTTATTTTGATTCTATAATTCACAATTTATTATGAGTTTCAAAATAAGCCTAAAGTTGATAGTATAATTCTAAATCTTTCAATAGTTAACCATTTGATCAAATTAAATAAAAGTATAAGATTTAATACTTATATCAAACATTCAACTTAATTGGCAATTAAGGTGGATGTTTGACTCAGTTAGGTGGGTAGATGAGCTCGCTTCCAATAAAATGTAATATATTCAAATGTTTTAAGTATGTTTTATTAGAAATTTTTAAAAAATGATGGAACTTCATTGTATTTTTATTTATTTATTGTTATTATCTTTTATTTAACACCAGCTTGATTAAGTTAAACTTCAGGTTTTTAGTAAATTTTAACTAAGTTGATGAAATGTGTAATTAAAAGAAGTTGTTGGTCCCTTGAAATATGCTTTTAAAAATAATTTCGAAGAGTAATGAATTTTAGAAATGAGGATCAAACATGGACGGGCTTAAAGAAAAGGGAAATATCCATTATTTAGTGACCGAAAATATCGAAGATAAATTCGTTACATTACGCAAAAAGTGAAATCTTTTCTTGTATAAAACTCGTTCATTCTAAAGATAATTTTTACACCTCGGCCACAACTTAATTCTCTTTCAGAATTAGGGAAGTTCCAGTACCGATAGCTACCGAGGCACTTGGATAATGGATTCTAAGGCGTCGAGATTGAGGAAATGACACCAAATGTTGTCATAACTGTCAGATCTATTGATTTTCATTATTTTTGCTGTGGATCATAGGTATATATGTTTATATTTTAGCTACGATGATCAAGGTAATGTATTCGTCATACTTCTTGCCTTCAACGATGGGATTTTAACTATTGAGTGTAAAGGGTTTCTTCAAAAAATAATCTAATGTTTATTTCTTGATAATGCCAGTGTACGTAGTTCATAGACTCATACTCCAGAACCAGAACGAATTATAGGGATTTCACTGGGTGATGGGGTTTTAAGTATTAAGGGTTTTCGTTAAATTCATGATCTAACACTGCCATGATCGTTAGTCAATTTGATACTTTTGATATCGAAGTGATTCGCTTTCGTTAAATTTTTTATTATCATTATGAAGAAGCATACATTCAAGATTTGTGTAAAGGGGGGAGTGCTACTGACTCAGAGAAACTTGTCTACTTACAGGGTTCATTGCAATCCTTACTTCTTGATCTCTACTTCTTTGATCTTTGAATTTAATTAAATTGATGACTAAAGTATCGTTCGGACTACGTACTAATCTAGTATCACTTAATGTCAACTATGATCGAATAGCATTTTTTTTTTTTGTAAATTTCGACTTGATATTATTAAAATATTGAATCCTCCTTATTACTTTGGCTGCAGCATAGATATTGAACCCCAAGAATTGGGGGAACGGAAAGGAGAATTGAGTTCCATTCTCCCAATTAGCATTTCCTAATGATTTAAAAATTGAGGAAAGACCAATCATGTATGTAATGTAGAACATTAAAGACGTGTTTGGCACATAATATTGGACATGAGTAGACATTACATTAAGACTAAAGTTTTAGCTTCATTTTAACATTTAATGCCTAAAGTACAAGAAATCATATGTAAACATGAATAAATTGGTCTTACGCTGTGAGGCTTAGAACTTCTGCAGCAACCAATACAGTTTACACCTCTAGTGTCAAGCAACTCAAGTAAGGAGCTGGAAACAATACATCGCAATGAAGACGCTGCCAATACCAAACCAATTAAGTTCTCTTAGAACAAATTAAACAGGATTTTTTCTGAGAAAAGAGATGTTCAACTCATTGAACAATTTTCTAGCTCACCTTGTCACATGAATTGCACTTCCTCCAACCAGTTTCCTTTGAGTAAAACATTTCACAGAAAACTAATTGCTCAAAGGCAGTCCTGCGGTCAATTATATATAGTAACATTATATTCTCTGGATGTATTAATGAAATTGAGTAAAGGACAATGCAGATAAGAATATTTCGAATTTGTCCCATGATGGATAGTTCAACCTCAACATGACATACTCTTGATAATGCCCAATTCTTGAGAAACAAATGAAGTAAAAAATTTATTCCCAAGTTGATGGGCGTCCACAACAAAGTTGAAAGTTTTAAAGAGAAAATAGGTGAAAGGAAATTTGTGTGAGGTTTTATATTCAAACTAAAACTTAGATGGCTTTCAATTCCTAGAACATCTGGCTTCTGGTTACACAGGTAAAATTTCACTGACCTCATTCTCATATCAATTCCAATTTTAACCACAATTTGCCCCCTTCACTTTTAACTAGTCTAATTTATTACCGAATATTTACATTAATCCTTACTTCCATTACTTCATAGAAAGTCGTGATAAATTATCTACCAAGAGCATACAATTGAGATCCTTAGATCCAGAACTACGGTTTCTTATCTATGAACATCTAATTATTTTCTCCATGCCCCATTAAACCCAAAGACACAGACTTCACTGCCATCAATATCAACATCAGAAAAAGTAATAGGAGAAATCCACCTCAAAGATTTATTCAAATGCTAAAAATTCTGTTTATGAAAAAGATGGTCCCATTGGCATTTCACTCTTTCCAATTGAATTAAAACAAACAAAACAAAATTACAGAAAATTTAGAATAGATTAATTGCTTCGGAACGAAACCCCCAAAATTAAGTACCACAAAATCGAAATTTCCATAAGGAAAATAGAGAGATCTGAACAGAAAAGTTTACCCGCACTTAGCACAAAGAGTGGCAAATCCATCGGATCGCAGAGGCCAACCCTTTTTCCATTCAATTGATGTCAATGATGATGAAGATGCCCCACTAACCTCATTCATGCACGCCCGGGAATCCATTTTCTTACAACCCAACCCTTAAAATTTAAAAAGAAAATAAAATGAAGTATTACAAGAGAACAGTCAACTAACTTACCAGCAATAATTAATTAAATTATTTGAATATACTAACCTGGAGACTAAGAAATTCTTCCTCTGATTTTTGGTTTTCTATTTGGAGAGAAGGGAAATTCGAATTGCGATGGTCGGAGAAAAACTCCGGCGACCGGAGAGTTAGGTCGGTGGCGGAGTTGATTGAAAGATATGCATGCAAAGAAAGAGAAAAAATTGTGGGTGTCAAAAAATGCATGCACTAGACTTGAAGGCTTCAAGGTCGCCTACCTTTCTTTTTCAGGTCTTCCTCCACTTACCTACTCCCACTCCACCCCCACCCCACTTTTTCTACAATTTTCCTTGATTAATAAATGGATATGATAATACAAAATTATTGTCTAATCTGATTTCAAAATTATTGGTGAATGAATGGAATATATTCTCCTCCATCCATTACGAATGTATAGTTTTCATCCAGGTGAGTTACTTGATTGTAGAAACTATAAATACTTGAAAACAAAAATATTGGTTCGGTGTTATTTTCATAATTATGATCCTTGTCGAAGTTTTTTCATAATTCAATCTTGACAAATTTAATCCTTCGTTAGTATCGCTATCGAAAAGCATCACTCGCATAATAAGTGTCTCGAAATGTAAGAATAAAGCTATCAACTCGTGCTCTAAGGGCAAACTTAAATCCGTTTTCGAAAGGTGGGAGAAGCTATTACTGTTCAACTTAGTATCTCCATGTTGAATTATTAGCCAATGTGTGATTAGTTAGTTACCCTAAATCGTTCTTCAATTTTGCCGAAAGTCCATAGCTCGTAAAAGTCAAAAATGAGGTTAATTTTACCAATCATATGGCATCTCGTGTTGGAGTAGTCAAACAAATACGCTGTACAATAACATCCTACTTTAGTAGGAGGGATTATGATTAAGGCGTTTTACGTCAAATGCTATAAATTTCATCGTAGTTAAATTATAATTATAACATCTGTTAAGTAATCGTTTATAAATAGTCGAAATAAAAAGTCAAATTAATTTTTATTTTTACATTTCAAGAGATTTACAAGTACTACTGATTTATTATTCCTCTCGAGAATAAAAAAATAAATAAATAAACTACAACAAAAATGGGAGGCCGCATGCAACATAGACTGTGGGACACTTACTGTCGGGGGAAAAATGATGCCTCGTACTTTAAAACGCTGTATGTCTGTACCAAGAGCTGGGACAGTTGTCCAGTGTGGTGGACGCCCATCTTGTTTGACGTTGAAGCAACAATCATTACCGTTTGTTTAATTACTTGGGATTTTAACTAACTTAGTGCGGCTGATGTCGGCATTATGACAAAATGATGTCATGGTATGGGGATGATGATTGTTTTAGGTTTCCTGTTCCAACCCACTCGAATGAAAGGGAAATTTTATGGTCTGATGGTACGATTGATGTTATACAAGTGGTTTTTACTTTTTATTAGAGGGTAAAAAGTTTAAATTTTTACGATCTTAATTTAGATTCGTACAAATTTTGATTTAGTTTTAAATTTTAAAATTTTAGGTATAATTAATTTAATTACTTAATTATTTTCATTTTTGTTGTTTTATGTGAGAGATTTATTCGGATATGTATGTCAATTAAGCAATTTCTGTTTGTTAAAAATTAGGAATCATAGAATGTGATGTGATGATAAAGTTAGAAATTGAATTAAAATCAATATCTCAGTCAACAATTAACGATCACAAATATGAAGAGCCTAAAGTTGTTAATTGGGGATGCGTTTTATCACTTTTGCAACTTATGGTTAGATGATGACATGTACAAAAGGAGGGTAGGTTTTGTGGTTGATGTGGATGAATAGTAACCTTATGTGTGATTACACATTGACCATGTTATAGAGAGATATATGGTGTGTTTGGATTGTGATTTTGTCAACTTTTCACTGTTGTTTTAATAATGCTTAGTACTTGAGCATTATTCCTTGGTGGATGCTCAATGGGATATTAGGGGCTTGAACTGGTTACCGAACCTCTAAGATTTGGTCGAAAAATCTGATGTTCTTTTTCATTTTCTACACTCTAGAGATATGTTGAGTGGTTGATTTGAGAATCAAGATCTAATAGTTGTATCAGAGCTCGAGTTTTTTCGAGTATCTAAACAGATCGATAACTCTAATTGTGATGGATTATAAAGATTGTTCTAGATTATTTGTATCCTAGTGAAACCAACGAATCTTTGGAGCATTGTGGGACTGATTGGGCTTGTTCTTGGTGATAAATCCTTTTTCGAATCTTGTTTAATAAGTTTCTACGACGAAACGTAGGGTATCATTCGGTAATATCTTTCCTTTCGTAAAACTATGAATGGTTCCAAATATCAAAGGGGTTTTAAGAGGAATAAAAACCAGTTATATTCTTTTATCTAGGTCCCTCAAAAGAATCCTGGAATATGAGGGTACAAGATTGATTCCTCAATTTACTATACCTGTGTCTTAATGCCTGAATTTTGACAGTCATCCATGACTATGTGCGTCAGTGATTGCCTCATCCGTGGATTAACAATATTGTGTGTGGATATACATGATCTATAGTGGCTGAAACCACTACAGCTGCTACCATCTGGACAAAATTAGGGGAACCATAGACTTGACCATAACAATGCCAGATAAGTGCTATTTACTGGAACAGTCCTTTACCTTTAAATTTGACCTGGCTTGCCCTTAATCTAGAAGTAAATATGGATTATTTACAAAACTAACACGCCATTTAGCAAATTGTGATGACAGAAACTCTGATGATTAGATCATTATTATGTTGTCTGAAATTTAAAAACTTTCAGAAATTAACAAATAATGTGCTTTTAAATTTCAGTGACTGTTTCTGAAAGTTTTTAAATTTTAGTGACCGTTTCCACGAGGTCATTGAATTTTAAAAATCACGCGAGTTATTACTAAACTTTACAAAAAAATTTCACAGGATCATTGAACTTTAAATATCACTCCATTCATCACTAAGCATTGCAAAAAAATTTTACGGGATCATTAAACTTTGCAAAAGT